AGATTACAGTACAGCCGGCAAAACAGCAGACAAACAGCAGCATGTCATTATTGCCTTCGTGTTACTTGCTTACTTATGTATTTGCTCCTCTCTCCTCTCTATTGTAGTGTTTTGGAATTTTGTTTACCACATATCCTAAGGCAGTTGATGGTGTTGGTATTTAATATGGAGTATGCAGGCTTTTTTTAGTTTTATTATAAGATAATAATCAAAACATGATTTGATACGCACAGGGTCATCCATTAAAAGAGATGGACTTTTTTTAATATTATATATTTATTTTTTCTTTTATTTGTTTATTGTGTTTTTAAATTATTATTGAATATATTATATTATTATTGTATGTTTTATATGTTTTATGTGTTTTTATATTAATATTAAAAATATTAAATTTTTATTGAATGTTTTATATTGTTATACTCGCGAAAATAATAGTACACAAGTTTATGGTTAGATCTTTATTTTATTACTGAAAATTACAATCTTAAGACTACCTTAAAATGTATTGTGCATTGTCTAAGTCTGTCTAAGTGAATCTTACTTATATTGTCCTTATTGTCTTGAACTAATGCGTTATTTTTATTATCTATATTTACTATCTTAAATGGGCCCTTATATAAACTATCTAATTTATGTCCTACTTGTTTAACTAATACTAAATCTCTTACCGATACTTTACTACTAAGTGCATTCCTATCATATAAATTTTTACTTATTTGATTTCTGTTTTCTATTGCTTTTATCGCGCGTTTATTTGCGTTTTGTAAACGAAATTTTATTTCTTTGTCGTACGCTTCAATATTATAAACGGGATCTATTTCTAAAGTGTTAAGAAAGTCATAGATGGTGGGCGATTTACCGAAAACCAATTTATAAGGACAATACTCATGTACAATTGAAGGTGTAGTGTTATAACAATATGTAAAATATTGTAGCCACTCATCCCAATCCATTTTTTCTATGGAAATGTAGGATCTTATGTACTCGTTAAATGTCCTATGATTTCGTTCTACTGTACCTAATGATTGATGGTGGTACGCGGTTGACGTAGTATTTTCTACCTTTAATAGATTGCATATTTCATCGAAAATTTTATTTTTATACTCGGTACCCATGTCTGTAATAATTTTTTTCATAGGCCCGTAAGTCAGTATAAAGTTTTCGAATATTGCTTTTGCTATTGTTTTTGCACTTTTTTCTGCAATTGGTACCGATACCAGATATTTTGTTAAGTCACATATCATTGTGACTGCGTATGAATTACCTTTTTCCGATTTTGGAAATGGTCCAATGGTATGTATCAAAACTACATCAAAGGCAGCAGTTGGTGTATCGGTTATTATCATTTCTGTTTTTGTTTTTGTCAAAGATTTATTTCTTTGACACTTGTCACATTTTTTGACATATTTAGTGACATCTTTAGTAATGTTTTTCCAGTAATAATACTGTCTTATTTTATTCAATGTCCGCGTGATCCCTGGGTGGCCTCCCCAGATTGGATCATCATGGTATTTTTGTAATATTTTTATTTTAGTAAAGACACAGGGTGGCAGGATCGCCATGTTATACTCGCGAAAATAATAGTACACAAGTTTATGGTTAGATCTTTATTTTATTACTGAAAATTACAATCTACCTTAGACTACCTTAAAATGCATTAAAATATAAGCATTAAAATATTGTTGTTTATGGAGTAGCATGCATTCATGGGTATGTATCTAATAACATAACTTTGTTGCGCAAGCGATATTGTTGCTTGGGCGATAAGCGACATAAATATGCTAGCTAAGCACATTCCATGTTGCTGTTCATAACAAAGTATATCTTCAATGCATATAGTTTTGTGTTGCACGCATTAATTTAATAAGTGAATTAGTGAAACAAAATAAAACTTGAGATATCGACCACAAGATAATTTATTTTAATTCAAAAAAAACAATCTTTATTTATAAATTTCAATATAACTTTATTAGATTAGATTTTTAATATAATTTTTCTTAATGTAACTTTATTAATTTTTTCAATATAATTTTCTTAATTTTTTAATATAACTTTTCTTAAAATTTTCAATATAACTTTTATTAGATTTTTAACATAACAGTAGGTTTTTTATGAAAATGTTTTCTATTTTGTCATAATTTTATTTTGTATCAATTTATTATTTATTTTTAGTTCGCGAATATTTTCGTTTTTCTAGTCGTATAATATAATAAGTTTTTTATATTATTATTTTTTTAATTATTAATTTTAGTTTTTCCAGGAATGTTTATAAATATTTTTTTAATTGTTTTGAGTTCTTTGTTCTTGCGGATATGACTCGCAAGTTATACGATTTGTTTTTTTATTAGTTTGGACGACTTGGGTTTGAGAAGGCTTCAAAAAACCTCGCGACGCTCGGAGCCAATTGCTGGTTTCGGCGAGCGTCCGGGTCAGTTCCGGGACCATAGACATTCTCTAAATGTCGACGTGCCTTAGCGGCTGCTGACCGCTTCCGTAGTTGCTCTAGGATGGCTTTGTGATCATCGTCCAAATTTCGATTCTCCCGATCGGTTGATTCCTGTATCATCAGTTGAATCCTGCGAGCTTCCTCGTCGCTTATGATTCCTCCCATTCTGAGTACTTATTATATTTTTTTAAATTTTTTTCTCCTCTTTTATGAGGATACTTGATTGTTGATGGTTGGGTTCTATGCCGTCTAGGAATCCTTTTCTTCAGCTCCAGTTGGCAGCAGATAAATAATTTATTCGAAGCGGCTGATTATAGATAGTCACTTTCTTATTAAATTATCTTAATGTCTTGAAATTAGTGTTTGTGACCGTACGATTCTTTATTATTGAATTTGGCTTTTTGTGATAAAATACTTCTTGGTTACTTTTAAATTTTCACCAACTTTATAATACACTTTTATAGTTCACCAAATGTTTTATTCAAATCACTTTCGATCACTTTCCGTACAACACTTTTTTTCAATGGCCACGTTTTATTTTCTCCTTTTTTTTTGGATATTTGTTAGTTTTTAATCCACTGCAAACACCTTTGTTATCGGGTGTTATATATTGCAGGGATTTTTATTTTTTTCTTGACACACGCGAAATCTCTTTTTATTTATTCGAGATTTTTTTTCGGTGTCCCTGCTCGGGCGCCAATTAATTCATTCGAGTCCGGTTATATTTTTTTAAAAAGATATATTTATTAACGGGTAGAATTCGCTTCTAACCGTCTTAAGACCGTACAAAAGAATGAAAACTTAAACCTAACTTAAAACTAAAAGTTAAACCTTTAACGTTCTACATGTTGCAATATTTACTTTGAAAATGCTAAACCGACAAAATCCAACCAAGTGAGCGATGCTCTTGGGTTTATATTCAAATGATCTGAGCTTACAAATAAGGCTTTTTATTCAAAGCTTGCTCAGATCATAATTTAAATCGTACCTTTTTCTCTTACAAAATAATTTACGGTTTTACATTTCACCCTACAAAGTGAGAGCATGCGATAACATGCATTTTACTTATGCATATTGTGGTAAACATTATTCATAAAATATTATATTTCTCTTATGGAATTTGTGCTACTACAGTACAATGACCACACATGATTAAACGTATGACTCTCGCGTTATGTTACAAGTGCACAATCATAACGGCGTGAGTCAAAGTAAATTCAAAAGTGTAATATGGTCAAAGTCAAAACGACAAATGTGCATTCAATAAATGTCATAATTGTTTTGTTGCTTTATGCAATGACTTGGCATATTAAACAATGATGTAGGTCATGGGCACTACAAACTTAAGACACTCATCTATCAGTTTCCACTTACGCGTTTCGTCTGAGAACTACCCAGACAATAAAAATGAGAAATCCTTAAAAACGTTGTTATTATTATGTAACTGTCAAGCAACATATGTTCTAAAGAACATCTGTTCATATGGGGAAATAATATGTAGCTTCATTATAGTAACTTAAGACACTGTCATCTATCAGTTTCCACTGACGCGTTTCGTCTGAGAACTACCCAGACAATAAAAATGAGAAATCCTTAAAAATGTTATTATTACTATGTAACTGTCAAGGAACATATGTTCTAAAGAACATCTGTTCATATGGGGAAATAATATGTAACTTCATTATAGTAACTTAAGACACTGTCATCTATCAGTTTCCACTGACGCGTTTCGTCTGAGAACTACCCAGACTTTTCAGAGGGGTAAAAGACATTCCAAAAACGTCGTAATTCATTTACATCAACATAAAGGTCATACCAATTTCCTAAATGTCGAAGAGTTGTTGAAAATGCTTTTGGGCAGCTTACAGCAAGGTTTCACAGAATAAGAAAGGGCATTGACAATAAAATCGAAAACGCGAACAGCTTTATACGATCCTGCTGCGGTTTTCACAACTTTTTAAATGAAAAAAATGATATACTTCATACAAATAATTATATGTGCATCATATTTTTTCAAAATTAAATAAAGAAATAAAAAACAAAAAAGTACCAAATTTAAATTAAAAATATTTAATTAAAGATTACTTTCATAGTAAATAATTATATGTGAATTTTTTTATTTTGGTCTGTTAATTTAATAAATGTTGATGTAATCCAAACTGTGTTCCATTTTTAGAAACATGGGCAGAAAGAATTCCCCAGAGATTTTCAATGGGATTTACGTCAGGACTCAATGCTGGCCACTTCAATACGGGAATTTTTCTGTCACTAAAAAAGCATTTTGTTACCTGTGCAGTGTGAATTGATGCATTATCCTGCTGATAGGTCCAATTATTACCATATAAATTACCAGCAGATTCCACTAACTCAGAGTCCAGAAGCTCTACATACATACTGGCATTCATTTGGGTAGATATAAAGCATACAGGGATCTTTCCTTTGTAGCAGAACGCAGCCCATATCATAACAGTCCCACCACCAAAACCTCGCTTGTTGCAGAATACCCGATCCTATCGTAAATCACGCCAAAATTTTTTGCAATTGTCTTGTCCGTCTAAATCAAATTTTTTTTATCACTAAAGACAACATTGTGCCACTCATCGGTCATGTATTGGTATTTATTTGCAAATTCTAAACGGACCTTGATATGCCTCTCCAAAAGCTTTGGTTTAGGCATCATTGCGTTGTGTTTAATGAAGTGATTTTTGTGAATAATTCTACTACTTGTGATTTGAAGTGCCATATGGGCCCTTATTTCTCCGCTGCTCATCGAATCACCCACTGCTAGACGTCGAATTCGGCGCTCGCACCGGTTATCGATTTTGGTTTTGCGGCCACTACGTGGAGCTGTACCGTATTCCGCCGAGTTTTTCAGGAACCTGGAAACACAGTTCCTATGCCGATTGAGTCTAGTCGCTATTTCAGCGATCTTATAGCCGTTTTCATGCATTCCCATGATGATTCCCTGTTCGTAATCAGACAAACTAGAAGCACACGGCATTATATCTTAGCAAGATTAAATATTGTATAACAATTTAGCACAATTTTTATAAATAGTAAATTTACAGTAAAGGTAAACCAATTTCTACAAATAAACCGTTCTCCGCGACACAATATTCAAAAATGTTCAGCTAGAAGTGTTTTGCACATATAATTATTTAAAATGAAATACGCAAAGTACGATCATATTTTTAAAGTAACGGTACAGCGAAGAATAGTACAATGACAGAATTTTTGTTGCATAGCAAGCACAACATTCCAAGTAACAATTTTGCATTTTTCAAGATTCGAAAAATAATTTATAAAATTTAAAAAATCAAAAACACAATAATGTACATATAATATTTGACATACTGTATATGTTTTAAATCTGTCAAATCCATATATGATATATAAAAATTTATTTAAATTTAAATATTCTTATTAATACATATAGTAATATAATTGTTGTTATAATTATTGCTATCAATATTATAGCAGTTGCAGGGTTTGAATTGCTGTTCCTAATTGCATTGCTTGCATAATTGCTAACGCATTGCATAGGAAAATGAAATAAGAATATGCATTAGCAACAGCAAAAAACGCCAACTGGTTTCATTTTGATTGCTTGCTAATAGTCAATTTTACATTTTTGACTATTATGCGTTTGGAATATATGCAACTTGCTTGCTTATGCGTTAGCTGCTTGTGTTTTGCCATTAGCAAATGTGTATGGATTTCTTCTTTTTGTTTTCGTTTTAAGGGAATGTGTACGCATTATTTCTTTGTTGGTGCATTGAATATAATGCAAAATTGTAAGTAATGTGTGTGCGTACAATTTGTATGCAAATAATATAATTTTATCTGTAATTAGATTATGCCTAAATTTATGTTTTTTGAAATTATTAAATTTATGATTTAATAATTATAATTATAATAACATAAATGAGTAGTAATATGTATATTCAGTTTTATAGATTGTTTGATTTTTCCTGTTATATATACATATGTAAATTATTTCATTCGAGTTCGGTTATGTGTTTTAAAAAAGATAAATTTATTAATGGGTAGAATTCGCTTCTAACCCTCTTAAAACCGTACAAAAGAATGAAAACTTAAAACTAACTTAAAACTAAAAATGAAAACTTCAACGTTCTACATATTACGATATTTACTCTAAAACGCTTAGCCGACAAAATCCAACCAAGTAAGCGATGCTCTTGCTTTTATATTCAAATGATCTGAGCTTACAAATAAAGCTTTTTACTCAAAGCTTGCTCAGATCGTAATTTAAATTCTACTTGTTCTCTACATTTTCTCTTACAAAATAACTTTCTGTTTTATACTTAACCCTAGAAAGTGAGAGCATGCGATAACACCCCTCTTTCTTAAAGAGAAACGTCCCGTTTCTTTAGATGAGATAAAGTAGCTGCTCTTATGCGGTGGCTGTCTATTGTTTTTTCCTTTTTGAAGTTGCTTGCTGATTTATTTGGTGGTTGATTTTTGCAATGGTTTCATCGGGTTGTTTACGTTTGTGTGTTTTGAAGAATTTTGTTTACGTCTAGGTTTTGAAAAATTTGTTTACGTCTGGACTGTTTTATGTGTCTGCTCAGTTTATGACTGTCGTGCACGATGATGATTGTTTCCAAGGGTGTTGCTGCTGAGGTAATAAAGCGTTGCGTTGATCTTGAAATTATGTTTCGGTTTTTCAAGTTTAAATTCTTCATTATGATTTACAATATATTTTATTATCTTAAAATTTTGGATGG